CGCCTGCCGAGTCGGGTCGGGAAGTTGCCTGCGGTAGCCGGTGAGTTAAGGATGCTGAAATATCGCAGCAGGCTGGTAATTTGTTTTTAATTATAACAGCTGGCAGGAGGTTGAAGTTTGTGGTTTGAGGACGATGAGGATCCTTGCTCGTTTGCGTTTCCCCCGTCGGCTGTCGCGCTGCTAAAGCTCGGGAGAGGGGCTCCGCTCCGTGTATCCGACCACTCTCCTCCTCAACCACTCACGCCAGGAGCCCGGGCTCTCCTCCTCCTTTCCCTCCCTCCTGGAGCATCGCTCCTCCGGCGCACGGGGATAGTCATCGTCACATCGCTCGCAGCCCTGGGGGGATGCCGGGCTGATGCCTTCGGGTGATGCCACCCTCCAAAAAATGCTTGTGAAGGTACAAGCGCTTCTTTTCTACCTTGCCGGAACCCATCTTTCGGAGCCTTTATCCATGTCCTCCAGGCACCTCCATACCCAAGGAAAAGTCAAACAGGGGAGGACCACACTTGGTTTAGTGCCTTTTGCGAGCGAGGAGCCTGGGGAGCAGCCACCCCTTCAAACTTGGGAGCGTTGGCAGAAGATGAACCTGCCACGTGCGCCGTGCTAGCGGAGCCCCCATGATAGCAGAGTTTATTACGATTCCCCCATGCCTTCCTCGTGCTGTACAGAGGCAGTTTGGTGGCAGTTTCGTGCTTTCCACCCTCTCTCCAGCATCCTGAAGTACACCAAGGCAAGCGCGTTTGCCCCCCGTGCATATATACACTGGGACTGCTTAATGTCGGGGAGCTGCCTTGCAGGAGACCAGTAGAAGAACTAAAAATACCTCTGGGACCAGCGGCTGGCAAAAGACATATATTTATTTTACTTGTGTCATGGTTTTATTTCAGTTCTGGGTGTTGGAACGGTTCCTAATCACGAGTCGGGGCGGGGGAGCGCTAACGGGTTTCTCATCCTCTGCCCTCGCAGATGCCGGTGTGCTCCTACTTCTTGAAAGGGATCTGCAGCAACAGCAACTGCCCGTACAGCCACGTCTACGTGTCCAGGAAGGCAGAAGTATGCCAGGATTTCCTCAAAGGCTATTGCCCCATGGGAGAAAAGGTAAAAGGGAGACCGGCTCTCGGGGTCCGGGGATGGGTGCGTCTTTGCTGAAGCCACGAGCTGTTTTTCCGGCGAGCCACGGCACCGAAGGGAGCCGTAGAACTGGAAGCTCTTCAACACCTGGCTGTGATGAACAGCAGTCCTGTGCCTTGCCAAAGGGTTGTGGGCAAAGGGGCTTGGTTTCCTTAAGGGCAGGAAAAAAAAGGAAACAGATGAAAGGCTGCAGCTTGCAAATCACAGAATCACAGAATGGTAGGGGTTGGAAGGGACCTCTGTGGGTCACCCAGTCCAACCCCCTGCCGAAGCAGGGTCACCCAGAGCAGGCTGCACAGGAACTTGTCCAAGTGGGTCTTGAGTATCTCCAGAGAAGGAGACTCCACAACCTCCCTGGGCAGCCTGGGCCAGTGCTCTGTCACCCTCAGAGGGAAGAAGTTCTTCCTCATCTTCAGCTGGAACTTCGTGTGCTTCAGTTTGTGCCCGTTTCCCCTTGTCCTGTGGCTGGGCACCACTGAAAAGAGTCTGGCCCCATCCTCCTGACCCCCACCCTTAAAATATTTAAAAGCATTTATAAGGTGCTGGTGTTTCCTCAGGAAGAACCTCCCCTGGGATGTCCCTGTTACCGGAGTCCGGTGCCCAAGCTGATAGCACCTGCCCCAAAAACTGCTCAGTTAAATAGATGAGAAGCAAAGCAAAAGCCTTATGAGTCCCAGTTTTCCATAGAAAAACTACAGACATTAACGCTTATTTTCCACGCTGGCTCTTGGACGGGTTAAAACTTGAGCCTTAGATCTGGTGGCTCCGTCTTAGCAGCAAGACCACCCGTCCTCACCCAGCTTGCAGCAACCGAGCCTCAAGCTGCGCCAAGATATCTACCTTGGGGCTTCGTAGAACCCACCGCCAAGTTCCTGGGGCCCCTCTGGTTTAGATCAATGCAGTGAAGTGAAGTCCCGCGTGGACTTTAGGTGCACCCCGGGTAAGACTTGCAACCTTGTCCACAAGCTTATGGCACCCTGCGTAACACGCGGAGCTCAAGAGAGAGCAGCTTTCCTGGAGCGGGACCTGGAGCTGACTGCCACTTGCTGGTTTCTGAAGGAATTTTAGGGCTGTTACATGCAAAGTAATGAAATCTGGGGGTTTATCCAACACCTTGTGGGTCCCTGCTCCTTTGTAAGCATCGGGAGTGGCAGCAAGTTTGGTTCCTCGGTGGCACAGTGCCGCGCTGCATGATCTCACCTTTCCCTGCTTTGTGGTTAAGGTAGAGGGTTGGCCATGCTGGTGTTCCTCTGAGAATTGAAGCGACCGTCCTGACTCCTTTTTGCTGTTTTCCATTAGTTTAATAATATTTTTGCCTCCTAGTGTGAACCGTTCTTTCATTAGTAGAGCACGTGGTTTTCTTTTGGATTCCATGAACAAGATATGGGCCACCTTCCCTTGGTTTCTCCAGCTGCCATCTCAACCCTGCGAGGTGATGCTGTCACATCAGAGTCCCCAGGCACTTGTAGTTCAGGAGGGGCAGCCAGTCGGTTTGCCATCAGGTTTGAATATAGAGAAGGTGGACTCTGAGATTTATGGAGGTGGTGTTTTTCTGCTGTAGTTGAGAGCTGCGAGGCTTTTCTCTTTTGGGGTGGCTTGTGCGGTGGGATTTCTGCTCGTCCTTCGACCATGCTCATCCTTTGACAGTTGTGGGCAGCAGGGCGAGGGAGGGGATTCTGCCCCTCTGCTCCGCTCTGCTGAGACCCCCCCAGGGAGTCCTGCGTCCAACTCTGGAGCCCTCAGCACAGGACAGACCTGGAGCTGGTGGAGGGGGGTGAGAGGAGGCCCCAGCAATGATGCGAGGGCTGGAACCCCTCTGCTGGGAGGAAAGGCTGGGAGAGCTGGGGCTGCTCAGCCTGTAGAAGAGAAGGGTCCAGGGGACTGTGTCGGAAGCCTTGCTGAAGTCAAGGTAGACAACATCCACGGCTCTCCCTTCGTCTACCCAGCCACTGTCTCCCATAGCATCCTCCTAGGGAAGCTTAGGAAGTGTGGCCTGGATGAGTGGTCAGTGAGGTGGATTGAGAACTGGCTGAATGGCAGAACTCAGAGCGTTGTCATCAGCAGCGCTGAGTCTAGTTGGAGCCTGTCCCAGAACCCAAACACAATGGTGGATGGTGCCTCCTGCAAGGCAAACCCATCCTTCCCCGAGGAGAAACCTCTACAGAGCAAAAACCAGGAAAAAGGAAGCGGAAAAAAGCCAAAAATGGCTTTTCCTTTTCCTTTAAGGAAAGCAGGACATCAGTGGCAGTGGAGGGAAGCGCTAAGAAATTTGTCTGTGCCTAATTACTTCTTGTGGCAGCGCGTGGAGGGGACTGCGTGCAGGGTAGACATTTCCTCCGAAGGAAAGCACGGGCATCCTGCTGCCTCCCTCCAGCCCAGCGCCAGCCATGCAGGCAGGGTCCCTACAATTATTTTTAAAATATTCCAATTTAAATGAAAATATAAAAGAGATATTTAGAATATTTATTCTATTAGTAAAAGTGCTTACCGTGTCACTTTTAGAGTGTCAGAAAAGCATTCTCCTACAGATGATGGATAGCAGCCTGTAATTATATATGGGGAGAAATTGCTGAGCGGGCCGTATTTAACTGGGGAGGAGAAATACCAGCTTGGGCCATTAAGGGTTAATTTTATTCTCTAAATAATATAAAAAGTGCTGAGTCCGTGCCTTTGCTCAAAGTAGAAAGTCCTCAAATGGACCCCGGAGAGTTTATAATATTCTACTGAATCAAGTAAAAATGTTAACCTTGCTTCATAAAACGATGGCTTGTTAAAGATGCGCAGTCCCTTTTCTTTTGAATAATTTAGGATGGGAGTAAATCTTCTCTCGTTCTGCCTTTCCCTGTCCGAGGAACGGCGAGAGTTGGCTGCCTGCGGTCTGAACCACCAAGGCCGCGAACAGCAAAGGTGTTTGCGACAGCGTAGCGTCCTCAGAACTCAAACGAGGATGGCCGGTAATTAGGGATTTAGGTTCTCTTGTGCTGGGGTCTGGTGCGCAGGGCTCTTCTCCCAGTTGTGTTTTCCTCTCTGTGCTCCCCCGAAGAAACACAATTTCTGACTTTTGTCAGACCTTCATAAAAAATGTCCATTATTATCCATAATTTATGATGTGTCGTTGGCAGTGTTGCCTCGTAAGTACTTTCTAGAATGTCTTGCAGGGTACTCAGGCCAAGTTGGTCGGCCCTTGACCCACCCCGTGGGCTATAACTCCAACTGCGCGAACTCTTCATATAAGCAATACCAGGACCAGCCTGCTCTGGCTTCATAAAGAACTTAGAATTAAGTGAGAAAGCTTTTAATTTTGCATTCCCAAGTCCCTTTTTCAGGAACGTAGACGGTAGAGGGTAAAGGTCCCTCCGCCCTTGAGGAGAGGGGACAGCTCCTGTGTGAGAGCATGACCACGTCCTTCGTTAAGGGAATGGTACCCCCAACATTAATCATTTTCAGGAGGGAGCCAGGGCCTTGATTTCCAGCCTTCTCACCGGCTCCTCGTGGTTGGAAAGCTTCTCCAACCTGCATGTGTTTTCGTGGACCTACTGCTTCCTACAGGGAGTGGAGGAACCTTCAAGTTCAGCTTGGTGAAGTGGTCGGTGAAATAGGGCTCCAAATAGCTCTGCTGCCTGAATCATCTCTAAACACAACATCATACGTGTCTTAGCTAAAGCCACAAAGTGATGTCCACCATGGAAATCTCCTTTTCGCCTTGCCTGGAGCTCCCTGACCTTCTCCGGCCCCATGAAACGGTCACACTGGGTGAGGCTGGTCCCTCTGGGCTGGTCACCTGCACTGGAGGAAGCCTGAAGGGGGAAGTGGGAAGAGAGGGAGAAATGAGGCCTCTTGCAGGTGCTCCCCAGGGTTTTCCGAAGACGTTTTAATGAGCTGCGCTATGGTAAAAGCTCCTCTCTGGTTCCTCGTCCCTACTCCCCTATGGGTCCTCGTGCCTGCATCTCGGTTTCAGACATGGGTTCACCAGGAGAAGGTGGGGTGAGGCTGGTGGGCACAAGGGACGATGTAGCGCCAATGAGCAAAGCTGTGGTGGCATTTCCCCCGAGGCTAGGGAGAAGCTGGAGAAGATGCGGTCAGGAGCGACTGCTTGGCCAGCGAGCCTGATGAGAGACGCTCAGCTTGTCCGATTGGCGATTTCTCTGCCAAGCCGCTCTCATTGATGCACCCACGCTTGGCTCCTGAAATAAAACCCAAATAATATGAAATAATATGAAATAATATGAAGTAATATGAAATAATAACTGGCCCAAGGAGCTCCTAGGGTGATAACGTGCATCTCACGTCGGGCTGTTGTAATATTTGATGACTAACCCCACGCTGAGATCTCTGTGTGGCTGAGACCTTGGGCCTGAGAGTTACGGCGAGCACTTGCATGACACCCATAGACAACCCCAACGAGGAGGTGCCGCGAGATTTGCTTTACAGGCACAAAACGGGGCTTATTGGGGAACAAACTGTATTTGGAAGAATCACAGAATCACAGAATCACAGAATGGTAGGGGTTGGAAGGGACCTCTGTGGGTCATCTAGTCCAAAGCAGGGTCACCCAGAGCAGGCTGCACAGGACCTTGTCCAGGCGGGTCTTGAATATCTCCAGAGAAGGAGACTCCACGGCCTCCC